GACACAACATCTTTGTTGGTATGTGGTGCTGAGGATCGAACCCGGGCCGCACGCATGCCAGGCGAGCGCACTACTGCTTGAGCCACATCCCCAGCCCCTCTTTTAGTTTTTTTCGTGGACACATCTTTGTATGTGGTGCTGAGGATTGAACCTGGGCCGCACACGTCAGGTGAGCGCGCTACCACTTGAGCCCCATCCCCACACCCACTACTTCTGATTCACCTTTGCCCTGCAAGTTAAACACCATTTCTCATTATGGACTCAAACCAAGTCCAAGAAGAAAATAACTTGTCCAAAGTGCCAATAGCTTCTACACAGTCAACTGAGGTCTGACCCTAGGCTCCTATTAAGAAATGGTGGAATTGGCTCATGATGGCACCTGTCACCCTTGGGAGTAGAGGAAGACTTCCTGGAGCACATGGGGCTGGGAATTAAGGAAAACTTTCATCTTGAACTCCTTTTGCTCCCCCAAACAGAGCAAAGTTCCCTGAGGCAGAGATCAGGTTTTGTTGAGATTCACATCTCCCAGATACTGTTTAGCTTATCAGAACAGCAATTTAATGTTTTTAACATTTTTTAAATGCCCTAAACTTTGTTTTTCAGTAGTGGGGACTGAACCCAGGGGCACACTACCATTGAGCTAATCCCCAGCCCTATTATCTGTGGGAGACCAACCTTGCAGGTGACCGAGTCAGACTCCCCGGCTGGGGCTACATGCTGAGGCGCTCAGAAATGTGGCAGGGCTTTCCCCACCCTTCTTGGGTTCAAGGGATGGTGTCTCATGCATGGACGTGGCTTCCTACAGCCCCATGGGTGGAGCTATGCTCACCTGTTCCTTTGTAATATAACCCCTTGCCCTGATTAGGATAGAATGTTCCATGGAAGTGTCTTGTGTGTGTCCCCTTCTCTTACTGTGCCCTTGGGTGTGGCCTACCCAGATGTCAGTCAACCTGCTGACAGTGGACATCATGAAGATAGACTCAGCCTCCTGAAACCTGACCCCTTGCCTCATTTGAATAGCTTCTCAATAAAAGGGGTCAGCACATGCTCTCGCTCTCTCTCTTCCTGCAGACCCTTAAGGTCAGAGGAGCCATCACAGCAACCCCAAAGAAAAAGGTATTTGTATCTCGTGTGGTTATTTTGTGCAGCCCAGTTAGCCCAGTTTTCCTGGAGTGACCCCTGAGCCTTTTAGTCATGAGAACAGAAACCTGGCAATTATTATTTTTTGGAGTACCAGGAATTGAACTCAGGGGCACTCAACCACTGAGTCACATCCCCAGCCCTATTTTTTACTTTATTTAGAAACAGGGTCTCACTGAGTTGCTTGGCACCTTACTATTGCTGAGGCTGGCTTTGAACTCACAATTCTCCTGTCTCAGTCTCCCTAGCTACTGAGATAACAGGCATGCATCAGTGTGCCCAGCATTTTTATTTTAATTTTTGTTTGAGATAGGGTCTCAGTTTGCTGGCCTCAAACTAGGAAGGCTCCTGCTTACCCTACCAAGTAGCCCACAACCAGCTCTGAACATTTTCTTCTTATAAAAGGCTTGATTTGTACCCGAATCTTAAAATATTCGCTAAATGTAGTTAAAACCTGATTTTATAGAATTACATTATTTTGTTAACATTAATTTTTTTTTAGTTGTAGATGGACACAACATCCCTACTTTGTTTATTCATTTTTATGTGGTACTGAGGATCGAACCCAAGTGCCTCCATGTACAAGGCAAGTGCTCTGCCACTGAGCCACAACCTCAGTCCCCAACATTAAATTTTTGAAAAATAATCTGTATATTTAAGAAAGAAAAAAGCATTTAAAAGGGAATGCATATTAATATGTATGTAACAAAATTCTTTTGTAATATAAAAATTTCCGGTGAATTCAGAACAAGAAAAAATGGACCACCCTAAAGTGCAATTTTAAAGATTCTTGCAAGAAACAAAAACCTTTTAGGGATTCTCCATTAAATCTTTCTGAGCCTGCTTATTTCAAGCAGAGTCAAATACTTTTAATCTTACAGGTACACTGTTCTGATTATACTCATAAAAACCAAATGTAACTAACTAGTCATTTGGATAAACTCAAATTAGAAAAATATTTAACTATTTTCTTTTTTGTGTTGAGGATTAAACCTAGGGCCTTGCACATTCTAAACATGTGCTCTACCACTGAGCTACACCCCCAGACCACTAAACCTTTCTTGCTGCAGCTGCATAACAGTCTAGTAGTCTGAAACTCCATCTCTGCAATTATGAGCTGTGAATCTTTGGTCAAGTTACTTCCTCTATGTAAAGTGGAATAGCTCCCAGCACTTTTGAGTCTTAAATTAGCCCTTAGCTCATAGAATTCTACATGATTTAAAGTCACAGCTTATGCACACAACAACTATTCAATAAATTATTAGCTATTATTGCAATAGTACAATGTAAAGACTGTGAGAGCTGGTCAGGGACACAAAACCAAGGAAATGTGCAAGTGAATAGCAAAAAATCAGTGAAAAAGAAAAAGATTTTCACATTTCTAAATCCATTTTAAAGATGTTATGACTGAGATCTAGTAAGTGAAAATAAGCTGAAAGGATTATAAGAGAAAGGATTCCTCTGCCTTCCAGATCCTAGGATTTAAAATGCCTTTAATCCAATTATTTTCAGAATGGAAAAAGGCCATCTAATTATATTTTGGAAGAATAAAAACCTGCTGGAAAGACGACCCTTTACAGACATGTAAAAAGCACCAGGTAAATTTAGAGTTCATAAAATAGAATCCCTTTTCATGTTTTTTGTTTCTCATACTGTAATAGCAGGTCAGCTTCTACTATTTATATTTGTGCTGCTGTTAAAGCTAGAATTCACATATGCTATTCTTTAATCATCACTGAAAATTATAAATGGCATAATGGCATTTAGTTCCACCACCTACTTGGCAAAACTGCGTCACTTAGATTTTTCTAAAAAAAATTTTAAGAAGTTTCCATTGTCATGAAACAAAGCAAAAATGAAATAAGGGCAAAAGACAACTAACTTGCAAGAAAAGACAGGCCATTCAGGGATGGCATCATCAGACAACTGTGCTGAAGGGACTCCCGAAGTCAGATGGGCTCCAGGAGTCCAAAGGAAGTTTATTACATTTTAGGCAAAAAAGAAAAGCAAATAAACAAAAAATGCTAAAATACAATTGTTGAAACACAAATGGAAACACTTTCTGACCATATGCCAGGCGTACTAGATGTGGTGTGATGTGGCTGGAAAGCAAAGGAGATCTGGGTTTAAATTCTGCTCTGCTACTTCAGAGCTCTCTGTCCTAAGGAAGACCACTTCTGTACTTCAGTTTCCCATTAGTAAAATGGGAATAATAGATGCCCTCTTCCTCATCCATCGCTGCTGCCTCCTTCTTCTGCTGCTCCTGGAGCTGCTTGTGTGCTCATGAGGACCTGGTACCTCTTTTGTGAAGCAGCAGCTGAGGAGACTCTGGTGCTTGACATGGCCGACGAAAAGCCCAAGGAAGGAGTAAAGACTGAGAACAACGATCATATTAACTTGAAGGTGGCAGGGCAGGATGGTTCTGTGGTGCAGTTTAAGATTAAGACACCACTTAGTAACTAATGAAAGCATATTGTGAACGACAGAGTTTGTCGATGAAGCAGATCAGATTCCGATTTGAAGGGCAGCCAATTAATGAAACAGACACACCTGCACAGTGGGAAATGGAGGATGAAGATACAATTGATGCATTCCAGCAGCAGACAGGAGGTGTCTACTAAAAAGGGAACCTGCTACTTTACTCCAGAACTCTGTTCTTACAGACCAAGAATACATTCTCAATTAGAAAACTGTAATTTGGTTCCACCACCTTCTGACCACTACAGTTTACTTTATTCTTTCATTTTCCCCTTCCCCATTCCTTTATTGTACATAAAGTAACTGGAGTATGTGCACAAGCATACTGCATTTTTTTTTAAACTAAATGGCCAATGATATGTTTTGATTGTCAACAAATGGAGATGGGATGGGGAAAAATACTGGTTCTGTGAAAATATCCCCTTTCTCCATTAATGGCATGCTCATTCAGCCCTTATCTTTATATTCCAGTAAGTTATTTTTCTCTCACTGTTTTAACAACAACAACAAAAAAACCTGAACAACATAAAAATTCTTGCATAACCTTGTTCAATTGGAGAATTTTAATGTTTAGTTTTCCCTTCAAGTCAAGCGTCTTGTTGTTTAAATAAACTTCTTGTTTACAAATAAATAAATAAAACAGGAATAATAAAGTACAATGTAAGGTGACTAGCTCAGTGCCTACATATGACGCAGTAAGTGTCCATGCTGGCTTGCTTCCTTTATGCAGACACACAACACTCCCCCTCCTCACAATCACTACAGGGGAAAAAAAAAAAAAGCTCTTCCAGCGCCCAGTGTCTGTGCAGCACTGGTGAGATGGCGCCCACAGAAGAGGGAGGAGGGCAAGAAAGCCCAAGAGTGGGAAATAGAAACATCAAAGACTTGGGGGCTGGGAGCAGTATGAGAGGGGCTGGGAATGACGACAGGTTAGGAAATGGAGTTGAGTTTAAGGGACCAATAAAAGCACACAGTCACTCTACAATGATCAAGGCAGGGGCAGGGCTGACATTCTCAAATCCCATCTCTCTTGGTGAAACTGGTTTAGACCAAAGCAAACCATGCTGAGGATCTCTCCCCTCCCAACAGTATCCTCCTGCCTGTATCACATAGCTCAGTTGCCTCACTCTGTCTTCCTCAGGGAGGACAGGGAAGCAACTGAGGAAGCAGTTTAGCATCAGCTACACTCAACTTACATGCCAAAGAGAGCTCCCCCAAGATGTGCTGCATGATCAAAAAATTTCCATCCCAGGATCATTCCAGCTGTATCCATGGCAATAATGGCTTTTAGGGCCTAAAAGATGGCAAGTGAGAACAGAAGTGATACACTTTGATTCCTCCAGCATTGACATTCCTAATTTAAGAGCAAGACTTCAGTCATTGTAAAAACATCACTAATGTCCTCAGAACTTCATCCAGGTACTTACATTCCCTGCTGTGAATGTGAACATTGGGAGGAAGATAATGGCGAGCCTCCCTTCTGGGATCTTAGTGCAGACAGCTGCCAACACACTCATGATCGCACCTGACTGCAAAAGAATGGAAAATGCTGGTTAGGAACAGCAAACTCTGCACACAACCTCTTGAACACAGTGTCTACATGTCTAAAGTAGCAAAACTTTTTCCAAAAGGGTTATATGCTTAGCTGTAGGTGAGCACAGAGCTTAAAAGCTTTCAGTTGCTAATGTGCACTGTACCAAGCAGAGAGGCTTCAGGTTTGTCACATACATAGTAATCACTGGGTAAAGCCTGAACTTTCATTACAGGTTACTAAGATGTATAAAAACCACTGTGTTAGCACTTAATGAACAGTGTTAAACATGCCATAAGCATCATTTCATTAATGCCTAAAAAAGAACTTCTCAAACCTCTCTAAAAAGCTCGCCAAACCAAAGAAAATGATCATAACTCTGTCCAAAGAAACTCATATGTGGCTCACTCGGATCGGCGCAAAGGGAAGGTGGCGCAGAACAGAGGCTTTGCTTGCAGGTCACCAGACCAAGCTCTAGGCACAGCACAAGGTTACCCCAGCACCCCCCACCTCACCAAACACCCTATGTGGGTAACAGATGGAATCCATCTTGGAAAACCTTCCTCGAAATCTATCGGTGGGCGTGGCTACCAGCACAATTCTGTGGCTGATCAGGTACCCGGTTCCAACTCCCCCACCCCCAGCGGTGATAACTCAAAATTTTTCTCACAAACTTTTGCGGGGCGTAGCTATCAACACAGAATAGCAACTGTACAGGCACCTGGTTTCCAACTCAGAGACTAAGAGTAGGAAGGCTCCAGGTAGAAACTCAAGCCCTCTCACACCAGCTACCTCCACCACCCTGAACGCAGAGACTCAAGCTAGGAATAGACAACTCCATCTACTGGAAGAAAAGAAAACAGAGTCCTGAGACTTTTTTTTTCTTTCTTTTCTTTTCTAGCTCTTCTCATCCAATCTCCTCTTCCCTTCCCCCTCTGATCCTCACAACCTCAACTATGTGAATCCAAGAACTTTGCATGAAATTAGATTTTAAGAACTGAATCACCAGAATAATATAATACAGAGGAATTGCATAGGCCCCACCTCACCCCACCCCTTTATTTTTTTCTTATTTTCTTTCTCCCTCTCTCTCTTTCCTTGTTATTTTTTCTCTTCTTTTTTCTTCCTCCCTCTATCCCACTTTCAACCTCCTATCTTTTACTGTTTATACATAGGGTAATTTTCTTTAATACAGATAAGGAGTTTGAAGTTATACATTCTTCCGTAAACTATCCCTGTCTATTCATTGGAGTTCTCCTCTAAAGTTGCTAAGTTGGAGTAATCCCCTACCCTCACTCCTTTCCCCCTTATAATGATGTCCTATGCCTGACCTTCAGGTTCTCTATATGCCACCAGAAATGGTATGCCTTTTATGAAACGAATGACTATATTCTAAATAATAATTGAAGGGGCTGGGGATGTGGCTCAAGCGGTGGCACGCTCGCCTGGCATGCGTGCGGCCTGGGTTCGATCCCCAGCACCACATACAAACAAAGATGTTGTGTCCGCTGAAAACTAAAAAATAAATATTAAAAAAATTCTCTCTCTCTCTTTAAAAAATAAATAGATAAATAATAATTGAGGCCAACATCTGTAGACATAGAGTCTAACTATAAATGTAATAATAATGAAAACTTGCTCATAGATGATGTATTATTGATATTGGGAACTGTTAACATTGGTTTTCTCCACAAAAGAGAGATTTTGGGAACTATATAAGTGCAATATAAATAGATAGGGGAAAAATATTAACAAAACAGTCACAAAGAGCTGGAAAGAAACATGAGTAATATGAAAAGACAAGGAAACAAAGAACCACAAACAATCCAGGACAAGTCAACATTAGAAGAGGTAACATCTGCAGCAGAAGGAATGTCAGATAAAGATTTCAGGATATACATGGTTCAGATGATCTGGAATCTTAAGGAAGACATTATACAGCAAATGCAGACAATAAAAATTCACTTTGACAATGAATTACATAAACAAATCCAAGAAGCAAAAGATCAACTCTACAGGGACACAGAGGTTATAAAAAAAAACAAACAGAAATCCTGGAAATGAAGAAAATTATAAACCAAATAAAAACTCAAATGAGTATCATCAGTAGAGTAGACCAATTAGAAGTCAGAACATCAGACAAAAAGACAAAATATATCATCTTGAAAAGGGCCTAAACAACTCAGAAAAGCTGATAAGAAACCATGAGCAGAACACCCAAGAAATCTGGGATACCATAAAAAGACCAAATTTAAGAGTTATTGGGATAGAGGAAGGTATAGAGGTCCAAACCAAAGGAATAAGCAACATGTTCAATGAAATGATTTTAGAAAACGTTCTAGACATGAAGAATGAAACAGAAATCCAAATCCTAGAAGCCTACAGGACGCCAAATGTACAAAACCACAAGAGACCCATGCCAAGACACATTATAATGAAAATGTACAACATAGAGAACAAGGAGAGAATTTTAAAAGCTACAAGAGAAAGGAGGCAGATTACATTTAGGGGTAAACCAATTTGGTTAATGGCTGATTTTTCATCACAGATGCTGAAAGCTAGAAGATCCTGGAACAACTTATTTCAAACGCTGAAAGATAATGGGTTACAACCAAGAATCTTATATCCAGCAAAACTAAGCTTCAGGTTTGACAATGAAATAAAAACCTTCTACAATAAACAAAAGTTAAAAGAATTTGCAGCTAAAAAACCGGCTCTGCAAAGCATCTTGGGCAAAACATTACACGAAAAGGAAATGAAAATCAACAGTGGGAAGTAGTACAGTAAGGAGAAAAACTAATCAAAAAGGAAAAACAAATCAAGTTATATAACAAAAATAAACAAACATGGCTGGAAGTACAAACCATATCTCAAGAGTAACCCTAAATGTTAATGGCTTAAACTCACCAATCAAAAGACATAGACTAGTAGACCGGATTAAAAAAAAGATCCAACAATATGTGAACATATCAAGCTGGGCATGATGCACGCCTGTAATCCCAGTAATTTGGGAGGCCACAGCAGGAAGACTGAAAGTTCAAGGCCAGCCTCAGGAATTTAGGAAGATCCTAAGCAATTCAGTGAGA